ACAAGAATGTGCAAAAATATTATATATTAATAAAAAAATCAGTGCAAAATAGTAATTTTAAAAATATAATTGGTGATGTTAAATCAAATTCAAATAGCAGTTCAATTATCTAATAAAAAATAATAGTTACAAATTCAAACGAGCAAATATTATAAAATAGGACCAACTGCCTAAAAAAATGCAGCGTATGAAACTCTCAGTAACTCAGCAGAATATGACAAAGCATATGCAAACTGACCACCATCTGCAACCAGATACTCAAAGCTCACAGTTTTCACTGCGCAGGAACTAATTTAGAATACCATACACAGGACTATCCAATAAGCTTAGAATTTATCTGAGGTCAAAACCCAATTTCCACTAAGTTGTCTATTTTGTTATATAGTATATTACCAACTAAACCATTGACTAGAAGCTGAAATCAACTTTCGGGATATTCCAAAGGGAATACCCCCCCCCCCCCCTAGAATTTTAAATGAAGATAATTTATACTACAGTTAAAATTATTTCAAATCAACTTCGGTGCTAACCAGAACCGTTGTCAGACTAAACCGTTTAGCTGGAGATGTAAGGCGAGCACAAACTGCCTGCAGAAAAATGAAAGTTGTACATTACCAATATAGATTCTATGGTATCAGTGATGTCAGCTTTAGGTCAGCTCACTTCTGTGTGTGTCCATCTTTTGTCTGTCCCCCAACTTTTGTCACCCAAAAAAACGTAGACATGCAAAGCTTATCTCGCCTAATTATGACGTCATTGAAGGGGTCCATTTTCTTTACAAAATGATTCCAATTACCTAAAGGGGCAATATAGGATTAGGAGTAGTTTTGGATTTTTCCTAAAAACTCTTGTCGCATGTGAAGAGTTGACCTCTAACATTCAGCTTGTTAGAAGGCTATAAACGTAAGAGATCATTGCTCTTTTGACAGAACTGGTTATTTTTAAGTGACACTAATCCCAGTTTATGTAATGTATTACCTAAGTGATTATGAAAAATGTTTTATCTATACATCTTACAGATATTCGCTTAGGTAATTTTGTACTGAGATTTCTTAACCTAAATTCTTCCGTTGCATACAGACGTTGTAATATAATAAACTAAAAAAAAAACGATTTATAATGTTGATAACATAATATCAAAAAATATACAGTGAGGAACAGAAGTATCTGAACACCCTGCGATTTTGCAAGTTCTCCCACTTAGAAATCATGGAGGGGTCTGAAATTCACATTGTAGGTGCATTCCCACTCTGAGAGACAGAATTTTAAAAAAATTCAGGAAATCATTGTATGATTTTTAAAGAATGTATTTGTCTTGTACTGCTGAACATAAGTATTTGAACACCTATGAAACAGCAAGAATTCTGGCTCTCAAAGACCTGTTACTGTGCCTTTAAAAAGTCCACCTCTACTCCACTCATTAATCTAATCTAACTTAGTAGCACCTGTCTGAGCTCTTTAAAGACACCTGTCCACCCCACAGCCAGTCAGACGCCAACTACTACCATGGGCAAGACCAAAGAGCTGTCAAAAGACACCAGAGACAAAATTGTGGACCTCCACAAGGCTGGAAAGGGCTACGGGGCAATTGCCAAGCAGCTTGGTGAAAATAGATAAACTGTTGGAGCAATTGTTAGAAAATGGAAGAGGCTAAAGACGACTGTCAGTCTCCCTCGGACTGGGGCTCCAAGCAAGATCTCACCTCGTGGGGTATCACTGATAAGAAAGGTGAAGAATCAGCCCAGAACTACAAGGGAGGAGCTGGTCAATGACATGAAGAGAGCGGGGACCACAGTTTCAAAGGTCCCTGTCGGTAGAACACTACGCCATCATGGTTTCAAATCATGCATTGCACGGAAGGTTCCCCTGCTCAAGTCATCACATGTCCAGGCCCATCTGAAGTTTGCCAATGACCATCTGGATGATCCAGAGGAGGCATGGGAGAAAGTCATGTGGTCAGATGAGATCAAAGTAGAACTTTTTGGTCTAAACTTCACTCGTCGTGTTTGGAGGAAAAAGAAGGATGAGTGGCATCCCAAGAACACCATCCCTACTGTGAAGCATGGGGGTGGTAGCATCATGCTTTGGGGGTGCTTTTCTGCGAAGGGGACAGGACGACTGCACTGCATTAAGGAGAGGATGAATGGGGCCATTTATTGTCAGATTTTGAGCAACAACCTCCTTCCCTCAGTCAGAGCATTGAAGATGGGTCGTGGCTGGGTCTTCCAACATGAAAACGACCCAAAGCACACAGCCAGAATAACCAAGGAGTGGCTCCGTAAGAAGCATATCAAGGTTCTGGAGTGGCCTAGCCAGTCTCCAGACCTAAATCCAATAGAACATCTTTGGAGGGAGCTGAAACTCCGTGTTGCTCAGCGACAGCCCCGAAACCTGACAGATCTAGAGGAGATCTGTGTGGAGGAGTGGGCCAAAATCCCTGTTGCAGTGTGTGCAAACCTGGTCAAGAACTACAGGAAACGTTTGACCTCTGTAATTGCAAACAAAGGCTTCTGTACCAAATATTAACATGGATTTTCTCAGGTGTTCAAATACTTATATTCAGCAGTGCAAGACAAATAAATTCTTTAAAAATCATACAATGTGATTTCCTGAATTTTTTTTTTAAATTCTGTCTCTGAGTGGGAATTGCACCTACAATGTGAATTTCAGACCCCTCCATGATTTCTAAGTGGGAGAACTTGCAAAATCGCATAGTGTTCAAATACTTCAGTTCCTCACTGTATACCAATATGTAGCCATAATATATATACCAGTATGTATTAATTGCTAAAACCAATTAATATAGATGGTGACAAGACTGAAGAAATGACACTTTGCTACAATATAAAGTAGTGAGTGTACAGATTGTATAACAGTGTAAATTTGCTGTCACCTCAAAATAACTCAACACACAGCCATTAATGTCTAAACTGCTGGCAACAAAAGTGAGTACACCCCTAAGTGAAAATATCCAAATTGAGCCCAAAGTGTCAATATTTTGTGTGGCCACCATTATTTTCTAGCACTGCCTTAATCCTCTTGGGTATGGAGTTCACCAGAGCTTCACAGGTTGCCTCTGGAGTCCTCTTCCACTCCTCCATGACGACAACACAAGCTGGTGGATGTTAGAGACCTTGCGCTCCTCCACCTTCTGTTTGAGGATGCCCCATAGATGCTCAATAGGGTTTAGGTCTGGAGACATGCTTGGCCAGTCCATAACCTTTACCCTCAGCTTCTTTAGTAAGGCAGTGGTCGTCTTGCAGGTGTGTTTGGGGTCGTTATCATGTTGGAATACTGCCCTGCGGCCCAGTCTCCGAAGGGAGGGGATCATGCTCTGCTTCAGTATATCACAGTACATGTTGGCATTCATGGTTCCCTCAATGAACTGTAGCTACCCAGTGGCGGCAGCACTCATGCAGTCCCAGACCATGACACTCCCACCACCATGGTTGACTGTAGGAAAGGCACACTTGTCTTTGTACTCCTCACCTGGTTGCCTCCACACACGCTTGACACCATCTGAACCAAATAAGTTTATCTTGGTCTCATCAGACCACAGGACATGGTTCTGCTTGTCTTCAGCAAACTGTAGGCTTTCATCTTTAGAAGAGGCTTCCTTCTGGGACAACAGCCATGCAGACCAATTTGATGCAGTGTGCGGCGTATGGTCTGCGCACTGACAGGCTGACCCCACTCCTTCAACCTTTGCAGCAATGCTGGCAACACTCATTGGGCACAATTTTGACATTTTCACTTAGGGGTGTACTCACTTTTGTTGCCAGCGGTTTAGACATTAATGGCTGTGTGAGTTATTTTGAGGGGACAGCAAATTTACACTGTTCTACAAGCTGTACACTCACTACTTTACATTGCAGCAAAGTGTAATTTCTCCAGTTTTTCACATGAAAAGATAGAATAAACATTTACAAAAATGTGAGGGGTGTATTCATTCTGGGAAATACTAGATAGATAATAAATAAAAAAACATATACAAGGTACATTTTTAATATGAACTCTTTTCCAGATGTTGATGACAAAAAAAAAAAAAAAATCATCGTGAACAGTTTTGTCCATTGTTCCAAGTCCAAGACAAGGCCTTCTCAATTAATCTTGCAAATTGGTACCATGATCAGTCCTTATCTCGTGACTATCTGGTATATTCATACCCCCCAAATTTACAATGTGGGAAAGTATGCTGTAAGAAACTGAGACTGTCTGATGTTAGGGTCTTTGTTCAGAACCATGACTTAAATTCACCTTGGATGCTAATAGAATATAAAGAAGAAAATGGCGTCCAGCATGCCCATATTACATTATGTAGAGATGATAAGTTCAGGCCTTACAGTTTAATTCTGTAAGCACAGAATAGTTCCAACAGAGTCTGATATTGCACCCATTATCATTGGGATATTGCTGATTGTGGGTGCAATACTCTGCAGGCTCCTTAGAAAAAAATAATAAATGCACATGTGTTACTTACAAAATAAAGTGTAATCTTTTTTTTATTTATTTATTTCAAAAGGTGAACTTGGCTTTTAATGCTGCATTCTGGGCTTGCTCCCCCCCTCTCTTAACCACTCTTAAATTAATTGCTGGTATGCAAAAAGAAACTACCTAGATGCCCTCTTTTCCTCCACTAAATTTGCAGTCACATGATGTGCTGGTGCCAAGTCCTCTGTCTACTTCTGTGTACAGAAGGCAGGATCCTTTTTTGGGTATCGGTTATTGACCATATGATATAGACACTTCCTGTTCACTGTCCAGTGATGGGGATCCGCTAAGGTTCCAGAATAGGAATTTTAGTGATAATATAAGCAAAAAAGGGGGCACATTACCAGTCCCCCACACCTGGACACATTGGCATTTGTTTTAGCCTTTGTAGGCTTCTCATAACAGTGGCATGAAAAGTAACATTGTCTTTTGCAATAATCAGTTGTCAAGGAAAAACGTCTGGTTGGAGGTTAAGCTCAGTTTCTATGTTTTTCTCACCAGGTAGCAGCATGACAAAGTATTTGGAACGGATTGAAGAAATGAAGAGAAGTAAGTAAAATACCATTATGAAATACTGCTTTATTCGTTAATTTTTTTTACCTTAGACTTGGATTTTGCAAAAGCGTTTGACACAGTTCCCCACACGGCTAATGTGTAAGGTAAAGTCTACGGGCTTGGAAAAATCCGTATGTAAATGCATAGAAAACTGGCTAAAAGATCATATTCAGAGATTAGTGGTTAATGATTCATACTGTGGATGGTCTAGGGTTGTCAGTGGTATACCCCAAGGTTCAGTGTTGAGGCCCTTACTTTTTATATTTATAAACAATATATGGACTGGGATTAAAAATACCATTTCAATCTTTGCAGATGACACCAAGCTGTGCAGTAAAATAACATCCTTACAGGATGTCTCCAATTTACAAGCCGACCTCAATGCACTGTTTAATTGGGCAACTATGTGGCAAATGAGGTTTATGTTGATAAATGTAAGGTTATGCACTTGGGGGCTAAGAATATGCATGCATCATACATACTAGGGGGAGTACAACTGGGGGAATCAATGGTGGAGAAGGATCTGAGAGTTCTGGTAGATCACAAGCTTAATAATGGCATGCAATGCCAAGCTGCGGTTTCTAAAGTGAGCAAAATCCTCTCTTGTATTAAAAGAGGTATAGACTCCAGAGAGAGAGAGATATCATATTACCCCTGTACAAATCATTAGTAACACCTCATATGGAATATGCAGTTCAATTTTGGGCACCAATTCACAAAAAGAATACTTGGGATCTGGAGAAAGTACAGAGAAGGGCAACCAAACTGATAAGAGACATGGAGGAGCTCATCTATGAGGAAAGATTTAGAGGAACTAAATGTATTCTCTCTTGAGAAGAGGAGATTAAGAGGAGATTAAGGGGCGATATGATCAACATGTATAAATACATCAGTGGTTCATATAGTGAACTCGGTGTAGAGTAGGGGCGGACTGACAACTCATGGGGCCCCCAGGCAATATGGGATCATGAGGCCCGTGTCCTTGCCCAAACTCAAAAAAGCCTATGAAAAAGGTACCAGGGGCATCTTATGGGGCCCCCTACTGACCCTGGGCCCTCGGGCAGTGCCTGAGTTTCCAAATGGTCAGTCCGCCCCTGGTGTAGAGGTATTCACCCTGAGGTCATCACAGTGGACAAGGGGCACTCTTAATATCTGGATGAAAAGACATGTAATCTCCAAACATGACAAGATTTCTTCACAGTAAGAGCTGTGAAAATGTGGAATAGACTCCTTTAAGAGTTGGTTCTGGCCAGCTCAGTGGATTGTTTTAAAAAAGGCCTGGATTATTTTTTGGATACACAGAATATAACTGGATACTAACATTTATAGGTAAAGTTGATCCAGGGAATATTCGATTTGCCTCTCGTGGGCTCAGGAAGGAATTTTTTCCTCTGCAGGAGCAAATTGGTTCATGCTTTGCTGGGTTTTTTTTCCTTCCTCTGGATCAACTGTGGGTGTAGGATTATAACTTTTATTTAATTATTTTTATGGTTGAACTGGATGGACTTTTGTTTTTTTTTTTCAGCCAGACTAACTATGTACTGTGCCTTCTGCTTTATCATGTTTCATTGAACCTATGAATATTGGTAAATCATAAATCATCAATTCAACAGACATAAGGCCTATTAACAGTAAGGAATTAAAAACCTCAGATTAAAAGCTGCACTGGAAAGTATTCATCATTATAATTATGGAAAAATAAAAGTCTAAATGTTTTAAACATTTTACATTATTAGGCTAGAGGAATTACGTACTTACTTTACCTTTTGCATTGCTTTGAAACAGTAGATTCATATATGAGCACCCTCTCACTCCCTTGCAAATAGACCACTGAGGACTGCAGGAATACTGACATCCCAGGAGTTTAAAGTTTATATTTCTACTTTTGCAGTCAAATTTGTTCTCATTCTCACAGTATACCAAAAAAAATGTTTAAAAATTCAATTTTCTCAGGAGAAGGTCTCATGGCTGACTGCAAGGATTTTGTAATCATTTTAAAGTGAGTCTGTCCTAAGGAAAGGATGTGCTCCCTCTCATTTGGTCAGCCTGCAGAGCTTTGCCAAAGGCAGCACTACAAGTACATGCCAATTGTCCTGTGGCAAACAAGGACAGTAGTGGAGGCTCAACAGAGACAGAATCTCCTGGGTCAGAGCAGGAACGGACTTTGAGTACCATCCCCCTGCACTTTGACCAAAGGGTGGGCCTAAACCACTTTGACGATGCTATGCATGACAACTAACACTGCCAGCAAGTTGTCATTAACATCAGAGGCTACCTTGTCAATATCAATGCATGAGTTGGGTAACTGTGCAAGCAAGGTGGTCTCCTCTCCTTCCTCAGGAGACCCACCGCATTTCTCCCCCACTTCCCTTCTCCCTCTGTCCATCCCTCAGTGGATCTTTACGCAGTACCTTGGTATGTGCAGATGGTGAAACCTGGTTGTCCCCAGATTTGAGCCTAACAAGACCGGCATGGGAATATCTTTAAAGACTTCAGCCTCACTCATCCCATTTTTTACCCTCCTCAATGATGGAAACCCATGCACAAGGTACACGTGGGTTCCCTCGGCTCCACTAAGGGTAAGGATATTTTTTTTCCACTAGCTAAGGGCATTTAAGCATGATTTAGACACTGGTCTCTCCGAAGCCATTAACGGTTTGGTTACCCAGGACAACAGGCTGCAGATTGGTATTGTTGCACCTCACTTTTCAAGCATTACAGAAGAATGGAAATGGTGCTGGCGAGGTGGCCAGGTGATGTCCGGGTTTTCTGCTGAGGATAATTGGTTCTGAAGTTTCCAGGCTTGCCACAAGTAGAGCTTTTGCTGGAATCAGCTGATGCTGACTTTTTACCAGAAGCTGTGGATGCTTGGCTCAGGGTGTAACAGGGGTTGGCACTGGTGATTTCCCTCTTTTCTAGCCAATAGTAGGAGCCCTACAGTGATCATATACCCAAGTGTTGATGTAGGTATCTGCCAATTCTGCTGCAAATGTGGCAGACATAGGCTTGTGCTGTAACACAAAGTCTCGAACTTCTGCAGGTAAGATGTGTAATAGCTGGTCCTGGATTATCAGGTCTTCCAGTTTTGCTTCTCAGCCCTGGTGTTCGATAACAAGCCCGCTGCATCTGTGGCAAGTGATAGTGATGGCTTGTGTTTTCAAAAAGATAGCAAATGTCATAATCCTTCTGAGTGGTACACAGCCAAAGGTATCCCAGTGCTCAGGGCAACCCAGGGTCTGATCTAGTTGGTGACACTAGAGCCTAGCCATCACCACTCAAGGCCACAAGTTTTGATTCCTTCCAATTATACAATCGATCATTGAAAACAAAAAATGCATCTCCCATATAGCTGTTTTGCTGGACCTGACTTTGCACTTCTGACTTTTCTTACCTAGGCGAGAAGGGCGTAACCTCTCCCTGCCCAAAATCTCCTGGGATACTTACATTATACATCCCAGGAGATTTTGGGGCACTGTCCATGTACACTGCACATGCGCATCTCGTCACCATCAGGGGGTCAGCTGCTAGAACCTGGAAGGGACAGCTGAACCACTGATGACATTAGAAGAGGAGATGGCAGCATGGGTCCCGGCATGCCCAGTTTGAGCAGCAGGTTATACCAGGCAACGCTATATTCACTGGTCATGTATGTTTTTGAGGACAACCTAGCAGGACAGGTAAGAGGGAAAGAAAAAAGAGTAAAGTTCCTCTTTAACATGTTTGCAGGTCTTTTGTGCCAGCAGAGTCTGGTTCAGTGTAGCACAGGTCTGATCTTTTTGTATCAGAGTAATTTGCCCTCAAAATGACTTGCCACCTGTGTAGTTTCAGGGATGAATGGGAGCTCCTGAGCTGTATATGAAGCCATTCTTTTAGAACCATGTGGAAGGCATTTACCCAAATGACATCACCCATCAAAGGGTCTGAGGAAAGGCTTACATGTGTGGAAGTTTTTCATGGTAGTTCAGCATACCCTCCTTCAGAGAGGGCTGGATCTAGCATATCTGATCTTGAGGTGCAATAAAAAAAAAAGTCGGGGCATGATGTCAATAGTGTGACAGAGATGCAGGGAGCCATTATTCCCTGGTAACTCCGCACACTTCTGTACCATGAGTCACAACCCAGAAAAAGCATTTGACAGGTAGCGCAGAGGTGGGGCAGGAGTGAACAGGGAATGATAGTATGTAATAGGCTGTCATTAGATTAGGATTATTAAACAGATCCTCCCCCCCTTATATCAGGTGTCCTTATCAGGGTCCCTTCTCACATCAGGAGCCCTCATCAGTCTCCCCTTACATTTTAGGTTTCTATGCGAGTCCCCTTTACATCAGGTATCCTTATCGGCGTGCCCGTTACATAAAGTGTCCACATCAGAGTGCCCACTACCATCAGAGCCCCTCTTACATCAATAGTCCCCATCAAGTCTCATGGATTAGTGGATGCACTCTCAGATATATGGGAGGGGAGCACAGTCCACCCCAGCATGCCCCTAGATCCGGGCCTGCCTTCAGATAGTTTTTTCCTAACTGTATCAATATTTCTCTGTGACCACATGCTACAATCTAATCAATCATATGTTATGATCCAGCATGACACTGCCTTTCGAACAAGATCACATATAGTATACCTCTTATCAGTGCCTTCCTCAGAGTAATGTGCCTCACTAGCTTCCTGCACCTCTCAATACAGGGGTGCTTGGTATTCATGTGACTGGTATGTTCTTATACATCCAGATATATACTGTATTCTTGTTATTAAGGTAATTTTTTCATGTCAGGATTTATGAGTAATGTGTTTTGCAGTGAGAAATAAACAGACATGAATATGGTTGGCTGATAGCTAAAACATTTACAGCATGCCATAAAATGTTTTTCTAATTGAAGGTTGCAATGCTATCAATAGACTGTCGGCTTAGAAGATGTCTGCCTAAGGCCCTCTGTATACTGGGCTGTCTAGGAGCAGTGTGTCCTTTCCAGTGTTTTTTGTGTGCCAGGGAGTGACAGGTGCAGGTAGCCTGTCAAAGTCAGTCGTAGACCTGTGTTCTGGACTTTCGTCTTTGCATGCACAGGTACTCTAACCCTAGGTTCACATCTGTGCGGGTGGTGCTGCTGCGGATCTGCATGAAGATCCGTGCAGCCGCACCACCCGCACAGAGAAATGCGGACCTGCGGGCGGATGCCATTAGTTCTAATGGTACGCTGCCCGCACTGGAAAACACAACCGTACTGGGAACCGAGGTTCCCGTGCGGGCTGCGTTTTCCAAAGAAGTGCAGAGACTTCTTCCCTGCGTGTCACGGGGACGGGAGTCCATTCAAATGAATGGGATCTCGTGCCCGTGCAAAACGCGCTCCGCACCGGGGGTACAATAGAGTACCACTTGGTACAGCGTCCAGCTGCACCTGTAGTGGGGCTGGATGCTGTATCTTTCCCTCTTTGGCACATGAAAATGCACTGCTCCTAAACAGCCCCATGTGCAAAGGACCTAATGGGTTTAAATTAAACAAGCCTGGATCGCGTCAGAGGTGCTGTGAACTAGGTTTTAATGACAGGATTCTAACATGCTCATTGCAAATCTCTGGGTTTGTGTGATTTATCTAAGTACTAATAACAACTGTGAACATTACAGCTAAAAGTATTATTAGTGCTGTTATGATGCCGAATAGACATTCTTTGAAGCTTAATGGAAGGTCTGCGCTGAACAGTTCGAGTATGCACTTTGATTGTGTTCTGATGTGGAGTTGGGGGGGGTCAGAGAGCATATCTTTAAAAAAAATATGTCCCTGGCTGGGACCACAAGCAACAGATTTAAATCTAAATGTCTAGTACACACTTGCAAATTTTAGTGAAGTGAAGGTGTCCAACCTAACTTCCCCCATCAGTTTGGGGTTTTCAGGCCTCATGATTGTCACACATGCCATTGCTGTAAATGGAGAAGGCATAAATTTACATGTCCGCATGTAAAGTTCTCCTGAAGATAATGTGCTGGTCAATAAAAGATTTCCTAGCTTGCAGATCATCTATCAGCATCCTGTTATTTTCTCTCACAATCCATCCAAAAAAATTGTCCATATTTTGTAAGTTTAACTGGAAATCAGATTTTCCAGGTCATTATAATATTTCTGTTCAGTATATCCAGTAATATTCCTGCATTCTTCTTGACAGACACTGTTTTGTTGAATTAAATTCCCTAGGTGCTCATCAAATTTCTTTTTATTTTTATACTCTTGTGCAGGAGAGGATTGAGCACACACAGATCTTTGTCTCTTCCCATGTGCTGTATAATCTAAAGCTTCCAGGGATACTAGAATAGCTACTTTTGTAACACCTGGTAAGGGTACCCCCCTATCCATGTGTAATCAAACCCCCAAGTACAGTAATTCTGTCTTATGAGAACAACAGAGGGAATATGATGTCTGAAAGTATACAAATCTGATAAAAGGCAGCACAATGGGTCTGACTGTCTCTGGCGAGGCATAATGAGTGAATGAGGAACAAGGTTAAGGCCATTCTTTCCATTTTCACAGTCCTGCCGAGTTGGTTCCATCTACAGACCAGATTCTGCTTTTGCTGGTGTATATGTACCCAATTCATCAATAATGTCTCAAAGCTCTGATGAAGCTTTCTGTCAAACAGAACCAGGTAATCTCTCTGCCTTAGACTTTTATGTGATTGATCATCTAATGTTACATTATTAACTTAGAGATCTAATAGGCTCCCCTGTTGTGGGTAGATGCATGTATTTTATTATATGGCTGAATGGCTGCTTATTGAAGATGTGTTCCAGTCTTAAATTGCAGAGGGGCAAACTGCCAAGGTGGAGCTTTAGAATGTATGTATGCTCGAAATGAATGAAATGTGCAATAAATGGTTTTTAATTTGCTGTTTGAAATGCATTTTCACACTTCTTCAGAAATGTTAAACTTCAAAATGGCAACCTTTTATAAACTAATTATGAATTTACACTTGTATCCCCAGGCTGAACCGTACAGATATTTAGAATGGTTATTATTGTTGGGGTTGTTTCAACTAAGCAGACCGCACTATTTAGGCTTTCAGCTTTCCAGTCCTGGTGATACAGCAGTGGCAATGTTATAAAGAAGGGGAATTAATTTGCAATAGATTTTTTGAGTAATGCTGCTCATTGTCATTTTATATATTTATCATGTATGTATTTATTTGGTTCTCACAACCCAGGGCCAGATGCATCTCTAAACTTTAATTTGTTAGAATTATTTAAAATACTGAAAATGCAAGAGATAGGAGATGGAACAGTACAGTAATACCAGTATGAACGGACATTGTACAATGACTTTAATTGAATATGTGCACCTTGACTTGTATTGCCAAATGTTTTAACGATCTGTTCAAGTATACTTGTTTACAGACACTTTAAATATCTTAAAAGGAAATCTCTTTATAACTCATTATGCTTTTCCACAGATATATGAACACACATATGTGTGTGTTAGTGTGTTAACTTGGATTTCTTTATGTCTCATCAATTATTTGTAGCTTGTTGTTGTAGTGGTCAAAAAGAAACCTAGCATTAAATTGTAGTAAACTTTTTTCTTCCTATTTTTTCTAGATTACAGATATAAAAAGGATGAACTTTTCAAGAGGATCAAGGTTACCACATTCGCTCAGCTAGTGCGTAATGTACCATTTTGTTTTTCCTCAAGTTACCTCTTATTTAAAAATTTTTACTCGATTTACAGTTCTCCTAATAATATGTAGTTTATCAAGTAGAGTGGTGCTTCTGGGATGCACAAAATACATACTGTAACAGGGATGCGTCAGCAGTTTAGAAGGCTGAAGATTGTCATTTGATGGGCAATGTATGTACAAAAGCACACCTTCCAAATTGACAGTTGAACTCTGTTTACTGTCCTATTGACTTTCAAAATGGTAGTACTCCCTTTATTACTGTCAAGCCACATACTATACTACGTTTGCAGCAAGGAAATCTATTAGGGCCCTTTCACACTGATGTGCTTTTGATGCGTTCCCATTGACTTACAGTTGAAGGTGCCTTTTTGGTACGCTTTTGAAAAGCTGCCCCAAAGATGCAGCATGCAAGACTTTTAAAAACACAGCACATGTGCAGTGTGAACAGTTACATAGGATTTAAAGGGTTTGGTAAGACAAATCTTCAATTAAGATGATGATCTCTGAAAGATAAAAAAAAAAAAAACACAGTCATGCAGATTGATGCCATTAGACAACATAGCAAGGCACCTGCAGCACCTATAATGCTGCACAAATAGTAATTGTATTTGTTTTTTTCTGCGAAAAAAGATTTTCAAGGAGTTATCCATCATATGCAGGGCACTTATAGCACCTATAATGCTGCACATCTAGAAATTTTATTTGTTTTTCTGAGGCAATTGATTTTCAAGGAGTTGCCCGTCATAGCAAGGCACCTATAATGCTGCACATCTAGTCATTTTATTTGTTTTTCTGCGGCAATTGATTTTCAAGGAGTTACCCATCAAAGCTTAGGTGCACTTTAAAGTGGTCTTTTCACCCCAAAGCTAAAAATCGTAGGTGCGTGCACCTGGGAATGCTGTTCACAAAACATCTGCAAGTCAATTGCTAAACCAAACCTTTATTAATTGCATTCCCCTTCCTTTACTATTGAGGCACTGGTGATGTAGCCAGGGCCTCACAACTGGCTTATGGAAAAGCTATGTCACCAGTGATTCCTAGGAGAGCTCACCTGTAACCTGTGATATTTAGCAAAATCTTGTGAGATCACAGGGAGAGAAGGTGTTCCCCCCCCCCCCCCCCCTGAATGGGCGTATACTGTCAGATCTCTGAGTGTTCAGGCGCAGGATTTACCTATGCATTTTCATGGGGAGCAGGAATACTATTCCAGAAGTAAAGGAAGAGATTATATTCTGCCATTAGTGAAAAAGGCCTCCAAGATAAGAGTGAAGAGGAGAAAAACAATACGGCCTTCAAGGAAATTAAAAACCTACCTGTAACTGTACAAATGTTGTTTTAAATTGCAATTTCACAACCTCTCTATTTTTGTTATTGGCAATTTGGGTGATGGCCTGCTTTAAAATTTCTTTAATAAGATGAGGCATAGCAATTGTGAGAGTTCAACATCATTGTTCAAATTTCCTTTTCACTCTTCTTCCCTTACTGGGATGATCTGCCCTGCTGAATGAAGAGTAAAAAAGTCTTAGTAATATAATATCATATACAGGTAGTTCAAGTGGCATCTGTGTCAGAAGAGAGCGATGCTGAAATTACCAGTGAGGAGCTGCGGAGGCTGGAAGGTAATAAAAATTTAAACAGTTTACGTATTGAATGTCAGTCATTTGATTCCCTGGAGAAAATACTGATGATGCTACAGCACATTTCATGAACTATGTTTTCAACTTATTTCATTAACTACATTTCGACTCCCAGCACATTTTATTCCCAGATGCCTTTTCTATAACAAGCCTGGCAATATAATACTGGTTTCTTACTGCACAATTTTTGTGTCCACGTTGTAGGTGTATTAACCCATCAAGCATTACAAATCTTCAGAAAAGGGGCTTAGGGCTATTCTTTTGGGTAATATCTGTTAATTGCTTACTTACCAACAGATTCACAACATTGAATTTAATGAAAATTCTTCTCCCATGATTTTAACCGTGTATGGAGCGGAGATGTGTAAAATGAAGAAAACCCAGCTTGATGGGTTGGGAAGTTTTTGTGTTGTTGATCCCGCTGTCATTACCATGTGCCTATGGGCAGATTGACCGATATACACAGAACAGTAAATGTCTGTATAGAGTGAACAGGGGGGGGGGGGGGGCTTTTTTGAAAGTGTTAAAGTTCTCATACTGTATTCACAACAAGGGGAAACAAACTGGCTGGAATATACTTCAGAGTTTAAAGTCATACCTCCTTTTTCCCTTCTCAATTCTTCTAAACAGAAGTGCTTGTATGAACTGCAGTGTGCTTATGTTTAGGACAGAACCCTGCAGATTTCATAATCTGATTTTGTAAGCCTGTCTAACGGTTCCGTGAGATCTGTGGTCGGTTTATGACTGGGTTAGATCTAACCTGTCTGATGCTTGGGTGCAGTAAAAAATTGTCAGAGGGGCAGAGGATGCGAGGTCAGCAGGGCATTGTATAGGAGTCAGTAAGGCAGTGTACAAGGGGTCAGCAGGACAGTGTACAGAGGTCATTATTTTGTAAGACAGTGTACAGGATGTTTATTAGGGCAGTATACAGGTGTTAGCAGGGCAGTGTATAAGAGTCAGTAGGGCAGTGTACAAGGAGTCAGTAGGGCAGAGGACCGGGTTCAGCAATGCACTGGACAGGGGTCACAGAGCAGATGGAGAACAAGCATTATCAGGGTAGAAGACAGGAGTCTGTAAGGCAGGGTACAGGGGTTGGCAGGGTACTGGGGTCAGCAGGGCAGGGTACAGGGGATCAGGGTAAAGATCAGTGGTCAGCAGAGAAGAGGACAGGGTCACGCTGGCAGAACACTCAACAGAGCTCCTCCTTCCATCCCTGCCCTGCACACAGCCTAGGAACTCAGCAGATCTCCTTCTCCCCACTCAGCATAACTGAGATTGGATTCCCTCCCAGACACCGCCTCCATCTGCACAGTGTGTAACTGGCTACTGCAACTGCACTGCCATTCTAATCTGGAAGTTTCAATAGTCAGAACTGTGACATAGCAGCCAGGTACACACTGTGCGGATTGAGATTGAGGCTGTGTCTGTAAAGGAATCTGGTCTCGGCAATTTCCCCCTCCTAGCACAAATCCCATCCACAAAAAAAAAAAAAATCACCCCTCCTAGCACACATCTTTTTGTATGACAAATCTACTCTAAAGGTGCTGGTGAACTAGGCAGTTATCATGGCTGATTAGATTTTCATCTAATCTACTATCTCTTGAAAAGTGAAACTCCACGCATACTGCACTATACACAGTTGAAATGCATATGCTTATAGGTTTACCTGCCAAAGGATTTGTAATTCTGTAGAGTCAGTACAGATTTATAGGCATTTTAACAATGTAAAACTGAACTGATGAAGTGTAATTTGAATTAAAGCCTATGTGCAGCCAAAATCAAAAACAGAAAAATCAACCCAAGGGACACAAAACACATTCAGTAGGTCATGTCCCTTGTGCTGATGCCTCTTCTGTTAGTAGTAATCTTACTCCGTCCTTAAGCCCCTCCCCACCTTGCTCCCGTAGTCTTCCAGTGCAGCAGGAGTTAATACTAAGGGACTGTCACAGGCTTTCCTCAAAGAGTTTGACTATGTCAGTCCACCATTCATAGAAACTGTACTACAGCATCTATGAATGAAGCAGGTTCTATGAATGGAGAATGTTGAGCTATTAATGCATCTCTCCTCAATTCATAGATCCTGTTTCATTCTTGGGGTGAAGGGGTGGGGGACAGTGCAAGATTACTACTAACAGAGAAATCAACAAAAGGGACACATCTTACTGACTGTGGGGGGGGGTTGTCCCTTGTGCCAATTCTTCTGTTGTTGATTTTGGCTCTAGGCAGTTATCTTCCTGTTGACTTTCTATGTCACTTTTGTGCCTCCAACCTGATAATTGGGTTGTAAAACAGCATCATCATCAACTATGTCCTGTGGGCAGAAAGATGTCCCGGGAAGCAGTAATGATTGGCCAGGAAGTAGCAGTTGTGTGTTTATCACAAGAATGGCTGGCCACTATTTCAAATCTTTTGGCAGATCAAATAAAAAACATTGTATTCAGTTGTTTGCCTGGTGTTAGACGTTAATGTACATGAAGCAGGTGCTGATTAATATCCGAAAACTAAAACAGAACATGAAATGTCAGTGGTCATTGATATTGGCTGCAATTGCCTGTGTATGCATCTGTGCTCTGCGCTGTTGTGGCTGTTGTCTCATAAATCAGCTAGATCTATTTGACCACTGGTGTGCGTGACCTACTCACTTTTTCTGCTGAATGATTACACTTGATGGCCATTTTAAAGTGATTGCTATTTAAAAAAATGCTTTTTTTTTTCCCTTTTTAAACATGTTATATTTACCTGCTCTGTGCATTGGTTTTGTACAGAGCAGCCCCAAGGATTGCTGGGTAAGGTATGTCTTTGTACTGATGACACAAAGGTGTGTAATAGGGTTGATATCCCTGGAGGTGTCTGTAACATGGAACATGATTTGGCATTGGCATACAAGTGTAAAGTCTCCCAAAAACTGCGCTAAAATATATGTAATATCCCCAACAATATATAACCTTCAAATTAAATAAAGTCTGTGCCTCAAAATACTGCCAATTCCTAAAAAATATATAAATCACTTATATAATTATATCAGTGTTACAAATATCATGCTGCCACATTAAATTATTAAACACATACAAGAAAAATTATTTTGGCAGCTCATGCATCAATGTCAGATTCTAAATGAAATACAAAAAAGTCCAAATGTTTCAGTCCAGTCTTGTGATCACCAGGTGACATAAATCATAAATATTTCTTAAAAATAAATCGCTTAGATTATCCGATAATTACCACGTGAATACTTGTGCCAAAAAGTAATATAACATTTGGACTTTTTTGTATTTCATTTAGAATCTGATATTGATGCATGCGCAGCTAAAATATTTTTTCTTTAAATATTTTTCTTGTATGATTTGGCATTGCTGGATGATTGGTCACAAAAGTGGAAATTGCAGTTCAATGTTTCTAAATGTAAAATAATACATCTAGGGGAAAAGAACCAATTGAGAGAGTACAACATAGGGGGTACAGTGTTGGCCAGCACTTCAGAGGAAAAGGACTTGGGGGTACTTATTGCAGATTATTGCAAAATGAGCAGTTTGGCCAGGCAATGGGGAAAGCGAATAGAATTCTAGGATACATCATCACCAGCAGGAGGAAAGAGGTCCTGATTCCTGTATATAGATCTTTAGTTAGACCTCATTTAGAATACTGTGTCCAGTTCTGGAGACCTCACATACAAAACGATATTGTTAAGATGGAACAAGTCCACAGGTAGGTAACAAAAATGGTGAAAGATCTGGGGGATAAATAGATCAAGAGTGACTTCAGGAACTTAACATGTGCAGTCTGGAGGAAAGAAGGGAAAGGGGAGACATGATTGAAACCTTTAAATACAGTCAGGTCCATAAATATTGGGACATCGCCACATATCTAACATTTTTGGCTCTATACACCACCACAATGGATTTGAAAGGAAACGAACAAGATGTGCTTTAACTGCAGACTGTCAGCTTTAATGTGAGGGTATTTACATCCAAATCAGGTGAATGGTGTAGGAATTACAACAGTTTGCATGTGTGCCTCCCACTTGTTAAGGAACCAAAAGTAATGGGACAGAATAATAATCATAAATCAAACTTTCACTTTTTAATACTTGGTTGCAAATCCTTTGCAGTCAATTACAGCCTGAAGTCTGGAACGCATAGACATCACCAGACGCTGGGTTTCATCCCTGGTGATGCTCTGCCAGGCCTCTACTGCAACTGTTTTCAGTTCCTGCTTGTTCTTGGGGCATTTTCCCTTCAGTTTTGTCTTCAGCAAGTGAAATGCATGCTCAATCGGATTCAGGTCAGGTGATTGACTTGGCCATTGCATAACATTCCACTTCTTTCCCTTAGAAAACTCTTTGGTTGCTTTTGCAGTATGCTTTGGGTCATTGTCCATCTGCACTGTGAAGCGGCGTCCAATGAGTTCTGAAGCATTTGGCTGAATATGAGCAGATAATATTGCCCGAAACACTTCAGAATTCATCCTGCTGCTTTTGTCAGCAGTCACATCATCAATAAATACAAGAGAACCAGTTCCATTGGCAGCCATACATGCCCACGCCATGACACTACCACCACCATGCTTCACTGATGAGGTGGTATGCTTAGGATCATGAGCAGTTCCTTTCCTTCTCCATACTCTTCTCTTCCCATCACTCTGGTACAAGTTGATCTTGGTCTCATCTGTCCATAGGATGTTGTTCCAGAACTGTGAAGGCTTTTTTAGATGTCGTTTGACAAACTCTAATCTGGCCTTCCTGTTTTTGAGGCTCACCAATGGTTTACATTTTGTGGTGAACCCTCTGTATTCACTCTGGTGAAGTATTCTCTTGATTGTGTTAACTTTGACACACATACACCTACCTCCTGGAGAGTGTTCTTGATTTGGCCAACTGTTGTGAAGGGTGTTTTCTTCACCAGGGAAAGAATTCTTTGGTCATCCACCACAGTTGTTTTCCGTGGTCTTCCGGGTCTTTTGGTGTTGCTGAGCTCACCGGTGCGTTCCTTCTTTTTAAGAATGTTCCAAACAGTTGTTATGGCCACGCCTAATGTTTTTGCTATCTCTCTGATGGGTTTGTTTTGTTTTTTCAGCTTAATGATGGCTTGCTTCACTGATAGTGACAGCTCTTTGGATCTCATCTTGAGAGTTGACAGCAACAGATTCCAAATGCAAATAACACACTTGAAATGAACTCTGGACCTTTTATCTGCTCATTGTAATTGGGATAATGAGGGAATAACACACACCTGGCTATGGAACAGCTGACAAGCCAATTGTCCCATTACTTTTGGTCCCTTAACAAGTGGGAGGCACATATTCAAACTGTTGTAATTCCTACACCGTTCACCTGATTTGGATGTAAATACCCTCAAATTAAAGCTGACAGTCTGCAGTTAAAGCACATCTTGTTCATTTCATGACAAATCCACTGTGGTGGTGTATAGAGCCAAAAATGTTAGAATTGTGCCAATGTCCCAATATTTATGGACCTGACTGTACATCAAGAGAGTAAATAAGATTCAGTACGGCAGTATTTTCAACATGAAACCAAAATCAAGAACACCAAGACATGACCTTAAACTAACTGGAGGAAAGTTCATCAACTAATCTCAGAAAGTACTATTTTACTGAAAGAGTAGTTGATACCTGGAATAAACTTCCAGCAGAGGTAGTAAGCCAGTAAACAGCTTCAAACATGCATGGGACAGGCACAGATCTATACTCGGACAAAAAAAACAAACAAACCCCTCCCCCCTCCAAAATAAAAAGGGGCAGACTCGATGGACCACTCGGTCTGTTTTGCCTCACTTTCCTATGCTTCTATTAAGCCTCTCCCTTGCCCCCCCCCTTCCCCTCCCTTTTTGCTCCAGAGCCAGTGAGGAAAGAGAGAGTGCAGAGAGCTGCTGTTCTCTAGCACAGTGCTGGAATGAGGGGGGGGGGGGGGGGGGGGGGGGGCTGGAGGAGGGAACTGTGCACACAGAAGATTTTTTACCTTAATGCATAGAATAGAATGTAAAAACCTTTTGCCTTTTATATATATATACACATAAAATATTTTATCGTATTTGAGTTTTTATTTATTTATTTTAGATAACAGTTCAGTCATGTCAGAGGCAGATACAGAGCTAGCAACAGACCGGACCAATGGCAAACACAGCCCTGGCAGTGTTCCTTTAAGCCCTGTCGAGCTGATTGATAATATAGGAAGTTTGGAATCCTTGAGCTCTGCGCGCTCCACTCTGCAGAGGTGAGTGATACTAAAGTACTTTATAAATGTATATAATAATGTATTACAACTGTACATACTGTATGTAGGCAGACTTTAAAAAAATCACTGTACCAGTTAAAATGAAGACCCCCCAATTCATGTTACCAGAAGTAGCCCCTTTTCCTGTATCTCTGTACTACTCTCTCTTTCCTGACACCTGAATATTATGCACATTGTTGCTGTTATGTTTATGAGCACCACTGCTTTTTTTTTTTAGTTTTAAATGTACATTTTTCTCATTTAGTGTTATTAGTGGAGTAGGAGAATTGGACCTGGATAGTGATCCAAAGAAAAAAATCGAAACAAGCACCCTCTCCAAGCACAGGGTCTCTTGACAAACCATACCCAGATTCCCCATACCTTCTTCTGGATGTACGTGACAGAGATTGCTACGATCAGTGCCATGTTATTGGAGGTAAGATTAGAACAAAATATCATGCACAGCTGTTACTGCCCAATGTTTTCAATGTGCACAATGGTTTTGTTTTTTTTTTTTTTTTAATTCTGTTGCTATGTACTACTATTATCTACAGTAATTTTGCATGTCTCAAAGTAGTGAAGTTGTGGCAGCAGCTAAACCAAGCAGTCTTTGACTTTTCATAAATGGAATGATAGCACTTGTGATCGAATAAAAAGAACACTTCAATTCGCAAGTGAAGTCACAAAAAGGGATATGAAGAGTCACAAAAAGTCCTTATTAGTACAAAATACAGTGGGTGTAGTAAAGAATCACCCCCCCCCCCCCCCTTTAAAATAATCACATTTTGTTGCCTTGCAGCCTGAAATGAAAACAGGCGCAGTTTTGTTTTATCCAGCTGTATTTATATGTCAAAAAAAAAATATAAGAAATTCAAAAACAGAATAGCTGAGTTGGATAAAGGATCACCCCATTGTGTCAGTATTTTTTTGAACCACCTTTTGCTTTAATTTCAGCCTTTATTCTGTTGGGATATGTCTCTGCTAACTTTACACATCTAGACTTTGCAATGTTTGCCCACTCTGTTTTACAGAACTACTTAAGTTCAGTAAAATGTTATGGTCATTCCACAGATTTTCAATGGGGGGTTTAAGTCTGGGCTCTGACTAGGTCATGCAGGGACATTCACCTTTTTTTTTCTTCAACCATTGTGTGGTTATTTTTTGCTGTGTGCTTTGGGTCATTGTCATGTTAGAAAGTAAACCTTTTTCCCATTGACTACTTTCTGGCAGGGGGCAGCAGCAGATTTTCCTCAAGAGTTTGATGGTATTTTGTCTCATCCCTTTTCCCTTCTATCCTGACAAGTGTTCCACACCCTGCTGCAGAGAACCCCACATAACAGGATATTACCACCTCCATGCTTTACTGTAGGAATGGTGTTATTTGGACAGTGAGCTGTATTGGATTTCCACCAGATGTATCATTTAGTGTTGAGGCCAAATAATTCCATTTTAGTCTCATCTGACAATAACACCTTTTTCCATGTGACCTGAGAACTTTCAAGGTGCGTTTTGGCAAAGCTCAGTCAGCCTTTTGTGAGGGGGGGGGGGGGGGGGGCTTTTTTCTTGTAACCCTCCCATACAAGCCACATTTGTGGACAATTTGTGATATTGTTGTCACATGCACACAGTCATCACTGTTTTTCATAAATTCCAGCAACTGCTTCAGAGTTGCTGTAGGCCTCTTGGTAGCCTCTTTTACCAGTTCCCTCCTGGCTCTTTCATCCAGTTTGAAGCAACGTCCTGATCCAGGGAGGGTCTGTATTGTACAAAATATCTTCCACTTCCTAATAGTAGACTTCACTGTGCTTTTGGGCATTGATCAAGCCTTTAAAATTTTCATTTCTCAAAATCCATCTCCTGACTTGTGCCTGTCCACAACTTTATCCTGGAGATCTTTTGACAGTGCCTTACCACACATAGCCAATTGTTTGCTTTAGTTGTACTATCAGGGACTGAAATGTTCCCGGAAAGCTTTTTTTCATGCTGAGCTAGTCAAAATGACCGCAGCTGATCACAGTTGAAAGTCAGATGGCTTTCTGTGCCACTGAGAAGGTGATTAGCTACACCTGATTGAGTTTAGAAGTCATTTTAGGAGGGAGGTGATCCTTTATCCAATTCAGTGATTTTGTTTTTGAATTTGTAAAAATGTTTCTGACATGTTGGTGTTATATCTTTCACTTGGATGTTATAAATTGCACTGAGTATATACAGCTGGATAAAGCAAAAACTGTGCCTGTCTTCATTTCAGGCTGCAAAGCAAGAAATGTGATTATTTTAAAGGGGAATGATTATTTTCTATACCTACTCTAGTCGGCAAGGAGGATTACAGAGAGTGAAAAATGCAGTGCTGTACATTAGTTCTGCTCAGCAATGCTTTATAAATAGGCTGCCTAGGATATAACAATTTCTTTGGCGTTGATATAAGGAGCAATGCAGGGTAGGCAAAAGGTGTTTAGATCTTTTTAAAACCAAAGCTCTGTTAGAATATAATTTTTTTGCATAGGAAAGAAAGAAAGAAAGAATTAAGTCCAAAGCATAAGTTATACACTATATTGCCAAAAGTATTGGGACACCCCTCCAAATCATTGGATTTAGGTGTTCCAATCACCTCCATGGCCACAGGTGTATAAAATCAAGCATCTAGGCATGCAGACTGCTTGGGTTGCTCTCTGGAGCTCAGTGAATTTAAGTGTGGTACCTTGATAGGTTGCCACCTGTGCAATAAGTCCATCCATGAAATTTCCTTGCTACTATATATTCCACTGTCACCTGTTACTGGTATTATAACAAAGTGGAAATAACTGGGAACAACAGCAACTCAGCCATGAAGTGGTAGGCCACGTAAAATGACAGAGCGGGGTCAGTACATGCTTAAACGCATAGTGCGCTGAAGTCGCCAACTGCCTGCAGAGTCAATGGCTAAAGATCTCCAAACTTTGTGTGGCCTTCAGATTAGCACAACAACAGTGCGTAGAGAGCTTCATTGAATGGGTTTCCATAGCCGAGCAGCTGCATCCAAGCCTTACATCACCAAGTGCAATGCAAAGCATCAGATGCAGTGCTGTAAAGCACATCATCACTGGACTCTAGAGCAGTGGAGACGCTTCTCTCTCTGGTAATCCGATAGACGTGTCTGGGTTTGGCGGTTGCCAGGAGAACAGTACTTGCCTGACTGCATTGTGCCAAGTGTAAAGTTTGATGGAGGGGGGATTATGGTGTGGGGTTGTTTTTCAGGGGTTGGGCTTGGCCCCTTAATTCCAGTGAAGGGAACTCTTAAGGCGGCAGCATACCAAGACATTTTCGACAATTTCATGCTCCCAACTTTGTGGGAACAGTGTGGGGATGGCCCCTTCCTGTTCCAACATGACTGTGCACCAGTGCACAAAGCAAGGTCCTTAAAGACATGGATGAGCAAGTTTGGGGTGCAGGAACTTGACTGGCCTGTACACAGTCCTGACCTCAACCTGATAGAACACCTTTGGGATGAATTAGAGCGGAGGCTGCGAGCCAGGCCTTCTCGTCCAACATCAGTGCCTGACCTCACAAATGCGCTTCTGGAAGAATGGTCAAACATTCCGATAGACACGCTCCTAAACCTTGTGGACGGCCTTCCCAGAAGAGTTGAAGTTGTTATAGCTGCAAAGGGTGGGCCAACTCAATATTGAACCCTACAGACTAAGATTGGAACAACAATAAAGTTCATGTGAGTTTAAAGGCAGGCGTCTTCATACTTTTATCAATATAGTGTATATATACTAATGTAGTGCAATATACAGTTGTGTTCAAAGTAATAGCAGTCAGACATCACTAACCTGATCAATCACTGTTTTTGGTAGAAATGATATTTCTACATGGCAAATAATTTATTAGCAGGTGTAGTAGAGTAATAGAAATCCAACAGACCCAACAGTCATGACATGCATGCTGCTGATTCTGTGTAATTGAATCACTAATTGAAAAGGGCATGTTCAAAATAATAGCAGTGTGGAGTTCTATTAGTGAGGTCATTCATTCTTTGAAAAACAGGTGGCAATTATTGCCCTTATTTAAGGAAGGAAGGCAGCAAATGTTTTACATGCTTGTTACAGTGCATTTCTCTCTGAAATTCTGAGGAAAATGGGTCGTTCCAGACATTGTTCAGAAGAACAGCGTACCTTGATTAAAAAGTTGATTGGAGGGGGGAAAACATATAAAGAAGTGCAGAAAAAGATAGACTGCTCAGCTAAAATGATCGCAAATGCTTTAAAATGGCAACCAAAACCTGAAAGATGTGAAAGAAAGCGAAAAGCTACCATTCGAATGGATAGAAGAATAGCCAAAATGGCAAGGACTCAGCCAACAATCAGCTCCAGGAAGATCAAAGAAGGTCTAAAGTTACCTGTGAGTACTGTTACAATTAGAAGACGCCTATGTGAAGCCAAGCTATCTGCAAGAAGCCCCCGCAAAGTCCCACTGTTACAAAAAAAAAAAAAAAAAAAAAGACGTGCTGAAGAGGTTACAATTTGCCAAAGAGCACATTGACTGGCCTAAAGAGAAATGGCGCAACATTTTGTGGACTGATGAAAGTAAGATTGTTCTTTTTGGGTCTAGTGGCCGGAGACAGTTTGTCAGACGACCCCCAAACACTGAATTCCTGCCACAGTACACTGTGAAGACAGTGAAGCATGGTTGCGCAAGCATCATGATATGGGGATGTTTCTCATACTACGGTGTTGGGCCTATTTATCACATACCAGGGATCATGGATCAGTTTGAATACATCAGAATACTTGAAGAGGTCATGCTGCCTTATGCGGAAGAGGAAATGCCCTTGAAATGGATGTTCCAACAAGACAACGACCCAAACACACCAGTAAACGTGCAACATCTTGGTTCCAGACCAACAAGATTGACGTTATGGAGTGGCCAGCCCAATCCCCAGATCTTAATCCAATAGAAAACTTGTGGGGTGACATCAAAAATACAGTTTTTGAGACAAAACCAAGAAATCGAGAAGAACTGTGGAATGTAGTCCAATCATCCTGGGCTGGAATACCTGTTCACAGGTGCCAGAAGTTGGTTGACTCCATGCAACACAGATGTACAGCAGTTCTCAGAAACAGTGCGACTACAACTAAATATTAATTAAGTGATTCAAAGGAAAGCAAAATCTTCAAACATTTTTCAGTTTATATAGTGAATGTTTGAGTTTGTAAAGAAGAATGCAAACACTGCTATTTTTTTGAACAGTCTAATATTCACTTTTCTTCAATTGTTTTTAGAGGAACAACACAAATTTGATATATTTTTCTTCGATGTTTTGATTTGGAATAGAATGTGTAGTGTTCCCAATGCATTTGTGTGTATGGAAATAAAAGCTATTAGAAGGATTTTGAGCTTTATTCACTTTTTTCAACACACTGCTTTTATTTTGAACACAACTGTAAATATTGGACACCTTGTAACGACACCTAGGTATGGAAGTCCAGATGTGACAGACTTGTGTGCCTATTGGACCATTTACAGTTAACTGAATTATTCATAAATGCCAGCAAGGTAGGGCCCAATTTTTGTCCAGCAGGATATGACTGTCCTAAGTCAATATGACAAGCAGGTGATAATACTAACATTGCTGGCAGAGATTCTGTACAAGGTTAAATGGTTAAAGTTGTACAGCTACAAAGTCCTATAGTTGTGCATAATAAAGTCCAGTATAGGATGAAGCTGGTTAGCCAATATAGTGCTAGTGACAATGATAGGATATCTCTGTTGCTATGATTACAAACCTATATTGTTATCCTGATTATCTTGATGTTTTTTTTTTTATTGCACACCTGTATGTAGAGTAATGTTTACTGAGAGTCACCATTCATATGTACACAATCTCTTCTCATGTGTTCTTCATAAGTTTTTTTTTTTTTTTCTTCTTCTTTTGCAGCTTATCACTATCCCACCGCCATGCTGTCCAGGACAATGAATCCCTTCACACAAGAAATCTTGAATTTTGTATCCATTATATTATTATCTATATTTTCGGCTTTAGAAGCCCACCTTTTTATGGGTTTCTGAGAAGGAGACTGGCCTGATTTTTTGCTAGTGATGTGAATTAGATGGCCATAGACAGGAAAATGTCTCAGAATAATTGCCATTGAGACATCCACCATCCTCATGATTGAGGGATTCCCCACTATATTTTCTACACCCTGGCTGATGGATGTTAGCAGTGTAAAAGCCCAGATATGCTTGCTTTTCTCCACTGAATATGGGATGAATAGCACTTGCTCACACAGAGCGTGTTGTGTTTAGCATGTGTGTTTTGCATGCTTTGAAATCTTTGACTGAAAAGGATTATTCCTTTTTTTTCATATAAAAGAGGAACAAAACTTTTAACACGCATGAAAAAAATGCCACTTTGGAAAAGACAGCAGTGGTGATCTATGCCTCTTACTACATGTTAAGGTGTATTGACAGGTGTTTATTGCCATTTACCTTATATTTGGATACAACAAAAGGGTTGATGGTCATTTCTTGCCACATGGTTAGATATGACAAGGGTGAAGGATGCCTCTTACTACATGCTCAGTTAAGATAGGCGTGATGGCTGCGTCTTACCACATGCCCAGATATGACAGGAGGGATGGTTGCCTCTTACCACAAGCCCAGGAATGAGAAGAGAGATGGTTGCCTATTGCCATATGCCCAGGAATGAGAAGAGTAATGGATTTCTCTTGCCACATGCCCAGATATGACAGGGGCGATGGTTGCCTCTTCCCACATACTTTAAAAAGACAGGGGCGATGGACACGTCAGATATCTTGTCTGGCAATATAGTTGCCCTTACCACATTCTCATTCCTATGCTGTGGCATAGGTGTAACGGTTGGTCTAGTGACCATCACCTCCACATGTTCATCTTTGTGTGATTGAAAGTCCATCCTTAGTCATGTTATGATTACTGTGTCCCCCAGTGGAGCAATTTCCTCTCCAATTCTCTCCCAGTAGTGTCACCAGGACAGGAAGACAAATCTCCCCAGTAGTGAGACACAATGGAGGTTCTAACATTTTCCACACTCAATGCAAAAAAAAGTTTAAGATTACATCTGGCATTAAAGATTATTTCTATTTACGTTGGCAAAGAAACCAATTGAATGGCTTACTGGAAAGTCTTTAACACTGCACCTGTCCAGCTGGTCATATTGCTTGCAGTAGTTGCATTTCCTATTCCTATTCCTAGGCTATGATTTAATACTTGCTAAAAAGGTTTACCTTAACTTTCATGTTCAGAAAAATGCACAAGGCAAAATCATTATTATTTATGATGAAGATGAGAGGATAGCCAGTCAAGCAGCTACAACAATGTGTGAAAGAGGATTTGAGAATCTATTTATGCTTTCTGGAGGTAAGAATTATTCTATGTTTAGTTAAAACAAGCACAATTCAAATGAATGACCGTAAAAAGAGGGTATAAATCAGGATAATCAAAGTTTATATTGTATATTACCTGTTTTGTGTAACTTCTGCAGATATTCTTCATATTCTGATTTCAAAACCTCACCCTGCTGCCTCCTGAAACCCTAGCATCCTAGGGTCCTAGTGTACTAACTGTGATGACACTTCTGAAGATGGGGTAATGATGCATCCAATGCCACTTTTCAAGCAGCTTTGACAGAAAAGAGATTGCTATGTAACAAGAGACCACTTTCTGAGGGCCTATGAGTGTGTAGAGCTTTAACTATTAAAGCCCAACAAGAGGAATTAAAAATAAAAAATAATAAAAATAACTCCTGTAGTGAGTAGTGCTCCTTATGTCCAGGGGTGCAAAGTGCAGGCTCTGCCACTTACTTTTTACCTTCTCCTACTTCCTGAAGCTCCAGTTTGTGGGCAGAGTCTCAGCATCATAACGAGACATTAGCCCTGTATGGTATGCGGAGGAGGCTAAAGTGCTACCTGATCTGGTCATAGTTTACAGAGCAGGTTGTGGGGGGACTGGTCCCAGCACTAGAAGGAGCCATCTGGAGCGAGGAATAAGGGATTTCTGTTCACCCCTGGACATAAATATTTAAAAGAGAAGTTTGAAATCACACATGATTACATCCAGTGGTATTAAGTCATTCCAGGATCTCAAATTTGAATTCTTACTGCCCAACTCCATGTTCTTTCATTATCTCCAGCTCTGTCATGATTTACATACCCAATTTGGAGACTCACTACCACCCCTTGAGTCTCTCCGTTTACTTGGTGTATGTTTGGTTAATGACCCCAAAAAACTAACATCCACTTTCTATAACTCTCTTCTCCAGCCAACGTCTGCGGACTTAGCCAATTGGTTAAAAACTAAATGGATGGTGGATGTGGAGGATGACGAATAGGAGGATGTCTTAGAATCCAGCAAACTGGTTTCCCCAAAACTCTCTGACCGCTTCACCCACCTATATATTCTACATAGAGGCTACCTAACTCCTGTTCAATTAGCAAACGACTGGCCCCGTTATGACCCTTCTTGCCCTGGATGTGGGAATTCAAAAGGCTCCTTCTATCACTTAATATGGTCTTGCCCGGTCATACAAGGTTATTGGACCCAGGTGATTCGGTTCCTACATGGATTCCCCTCTAACTCTATGCCCAAAACAATGTCTTCTGGGGCTTTTTCTCAATCGAGACAGTGATAAACATTTACATGTTTTTCTTCAAGAAACACTTTTAGTTTCTAGAATGCTGATAGCAAGGGTCTGGCTTAGGGCTTTGCCCCCGACACTCCGGCATTGGATTGTTGGTATTAAATCTCACCCTACCCTACAAGAAAGTAATATACAGTATATGCACAGATGGTTTCCTGCCAAATACAATAAGACATGGGATAGATGGTTAGAACAACCCTCCACATTTAATGTGGATGAAACTGAAGACTCATAATTGGTAACTTTTCTTTATCCTCACATTCTGCATTGCCTCATGACTATGCTATTTATGCAATCTATCATTCCTTATACTGAGAATGTATTATGGTATGATGTTATTCTTATTGCTCCTCTGTATTCCATATACAGTATGTTTACCTTTTTATAAAAAAGAGCTCTTTTGACCCAAAAAAAGAGAGAAGTTCTAAATTACAAGAAACAAAGATTTATACTCACCTATGTGGGTTCAGCTTCGATTCCCCCACCACTTATAAGACTGAGAACTGAATGATCAAAGACCACTAATTGCCTTCTTCAGTGAGCAGAGGGCAGTGACTGTCAGTCTCCAGTTCTCTGCTCTACCCCTCCAGCATACACTGGTGCACCAGGCTGTGGAGGGGGGGGGGGGCATCTGGCTCAGGCTCTCGGCTGCTCACTGAGAGGCTGAGCCAGCTGCCTGTCAGGAATCCAGAGCCTGGAATGGTTTAGTGACGTCAGCCAATGCTCAATGCGGGTCGCAGGACGATAGAATGAAGTGCACTCCTTTGATCCCCACAAGAAGTAGGGCCAAAAGAACTTTGGCCCTACTTCTCCTTTTAATTTGATTTTTTTTTTTTTTAATTTCTGGAGTTGGGAAGTGACTGAACAGTTTTTGTTCAGTTCGCTCTTGCGATGCAATTTTACAGCACCCCTTTTATTTTTTATGCCTTAAGACTGGTACACATAGGCCAAATATTGGCCGGTTCAACAGAAACAAGCAGACATTTTTCTCATGTGTACAGCAGCCCATCCGACAGAAGCCAGTCTAATGACCAGCTTTTATCAAATGGACATGCTGGCAAACCAGCATCCAATCGGAGCTTGCAGCCAATGGCAGTGTGTTCTGGAGGGGTGGGGCTTTCCCTGTCAGAACACAATAGCTCAGTGGGGGAGATTGCAACACTAACATTGCTTAGGTAGTACAGAGACCTCTCAGATTTTTTTCATTCAGCCCGTTGGGTTGAACAAAAAAAAAAACCTCCCCATGTGTACCCTGCTTTAGGCACAGATCTCTAAGGTCTTGCTAGTCAAGACGCTACAGTATTTAGGCTCATGTCACTAAGGTACAGCACATATCTTATTTGCCATAACAAACATTTATTTGAGCTATTACTTTCAGCTTTAATTGTCTCTTACTGCTGAAAATACAAACAATTATGGCAAAAAAGTTGAGCCTTTTTCCTGACAATACCTGTCTGTTATGATTCACTCTACATTAGTGCAGAGCTACTTCTAAATAGTATACCATGGGAAAGAACCATATATTAATATAGGAAATCCACCTTCAATCTTAAACGTGATCACACAAAACCACATCACATAAATACAATCAACAATATTATCAGTTCCAGGTGCTGGCAAATATCTGAATTTTTTTCTCTGTGATGCACTCCACACTTCCTCCACCAAAGAGTGCTTCATTGTGGATGTGATCTCACCTTAAAAATATGACCTGCACATTCTAGAGGTCTTAAAAAGCCTTTTTCCCCTTTTTCTGGAATCCAGGGATATCAGATGATGGCTTCTCTGTGGCTCAAGACAAAGCAAAAACAAACTAGTGCTTTCCATTTTAAACATAATTATTTATTACATTTGATTTATTACGTTTTTTCTTTTATTTCTGTTATGACCTTTTCTTACTAGGGAGGCAGTTCTTGGATTTTACTGCCAATGTAAGTAAAACAAAAACTATTCCATGAAATTTCCCAGCTGCAGGGATGATAGCCTGGGCAATGTACAGTATATGCGAAGCCAGTGTTTTTCTGTCACTTTGTTTACGCTTCAGGAAGAGTTGGATAAAAATTCACCATGGTAGCTTCTATATTTTTCTGGTCACATAGGATGAATGGGAGAGTGCTTGTCGGTAAACACATCAAGGTGACCTTACATCCTTTTAATGATGAGTTCCCTGTCAAGTGCATAGCTCATGCATAGCTAATGTGTGTTTGTCACAATCACAGTCACTGTCAATTTGCATTTGATGGTGTATATATGTCAGTTTGTGTTAATCAGAGGTGCAATTCTAAATATTTAGCTTATTATTTGGATATTTAAGGATAAGGGAGGCTATTGATGAAATGATATGCTCTGTAAAAAAATAAAGATAAAAACTTACTGGCATACTAGATGTAGGCCTAATGTCACTACCATACTATTCATATGTTTTCAACAATGTTGCATTATTCCCTCTGTTTATTTTGTATTCGTTTAATTAAGAATAGTTTCACTTTAGGGCTCCATGCATACCTGTGTGCTTTGTAAATGTGATAAAAACGTGTATTGCATTTGCGGTGCCATTCATTGTTAATGGCACCCAAACGCAGTAAGCAGACAAGTGTTTTGCCAAATGCAAAAATGCACAACAAACACAGCAGATTGTGAGGTGCAAAAAAACGTGAAGAACTGAACACGGCAAAAAGCTCCATGAGCTACTTTGCCTTGTTTGTCGTGTGTAGGACAGCCCATTGAAATGGAAAAAAAGCATGCGCAAAACACCAATTTGTAAAATGCTAGATGTGAATGGGGCCTAAAAGTATCATCCCCTATTTTTTCTAGGTGTGTAAGAGCTTTCAGAAATCTCTGAAAGTATTCTGGCCAATGCTATACTTGACAGCAATGTACGCATTCTTCATTACCTGCCCTACATCCACACATTATAAGAATATATGCATACGGGTGGCATGGCCCCTGTGCATCATCTCTTGGTGTAGTGTCCAATGCTGCTGCCAGTAGCCTGTCAAGATCTATGACAGGCTGAAATATGAGGCAGCTGGTCTCTGTATAGAGCGGCATTTGTGTTTGGGGTCATATTCACTCGGGACATATGTCCTGAACACAGAATTCCCTGGTTTTGGACATATGTCCCTAGTGCTTAGGGACATATGCCCAAAACCTGGGTTATTCTGTGCTGTATGTGCTATACAACCCTAAACAGGAGTGCCCCTCGGTGTAGCTTCCAGCTGCTGCATATTTAAAGCATGTCATAAATTTTGCTACAATTGTATCTCCCAGGTACCTGAAAATGCTCGGATTGGCCAAAACTGGCCCATGTGCATATGAGGCCTTATCTACATATTATAATGTGCTCTGGACAGATGTGTGTTGAGTTAAGGTGGAATCTGAGTAGGTAATTACATTATTGATTATATATTACACTTGGTTTTTTACAGGTCTGAAAGTTATAGCACAAAAGTTCCCAGATGGCCTCACAACGGGCACATTTCCAGTCACCTGCTTAACTCAGCCAGTGCAACCTAAGTCTGCACGCAAGCATTCCACACCAAGGGAACCTGTCTTACCACCTGAGAACAAATTGAGATTTTCCGGCCAAGACCTGGAAAAAATAGAACAACATCTGGAGAAAATGCTCATGCCAGCCGACACTGCCAGTAAGCAATTAATTCCATTAGTGTTAAACCAGTCTCTCATCAATGTAAACTCGTCATTTGGTAGAACACAGTGTGGGAGATTTACTAAAACTGGAGTGTGCAAAATCTGGTGCAGCTCTGTATAGAAACCAATCAGCTTCCAGGTTTTACTGTCAAAGCTTAATTGAACAAGCTGAAGATATAATCTGATTGGATACCATGCACAGCTGCACCAAATTCAGAGTGCTCCAGTTTTAGTTAATCTCCCCCTGTGTTTTTTATGTCCACTTTTTCACATACGTGCAGCAGGTTAATGTACCTTATTTAGGTTAGAGGGTAGCAGGAATTTCCATTGATCAGAGAAAACATCTAAAATTTATAGATTGCCCCCATGTTTTGTTTTTTTTTCTTGAATGCTTTTATATGGAGAGCTCTATGTACATATTGTTGTGAAGACAGATCAGGCATTATAAAAGAGAAAAAAAAAAATTTGCAGGGGTTTGTTCACAAACGTACATCTTTTTCTTTCTTCCCTGTATTACTTATTTTCAAGGAATAGGTCTATTCCTTATAACCATGTTGGCAATATTCAGTTTTTATATAACATTGCTGCATGTCTAAAGGAACGTCTGGGGGGGTCCAGATCTTTCCACTAAGCACAGATTGTGTTAATATACTGTATATCTATAGATGATATAGCAGGAAGGGGGCTAAAATAAAGTTAACTTGCTACAATTTCTTGACCTACAGGGGACTGTGTTATTTTTCAAAAAAAAAAAGAAAAGATGCTCCTTTTCTTTACCTTTTAAAGTATAACTGTATGCTAGAAATTCAGATTTTGGTATAATGACACTTAATTTGTATCCTGAGTATTAATTACCTGTCGGTTCTGGAATTGTTCAGAGCTCTGCTACCTCCAGAACCACAGGGAGGCATTAGTAAAGAGTGGCACAATCATAATGCTTGAACCACTCTTCTAAACTTGAGAAACAAAACAAATCCTGCTCCTAATTAACAAAAGGGATGTAACTCTTGATTGGGAATGATTGGTTTTCTGTTCTATGCTGTCTGTGAGAGCAGTACAGCTAGAGCTGCATACTTCGGATTTCTCTGCCTATGCCCGCTCAGCTACGATCAGGAGGGAGGAGGAGGGCTGTGCAGGCTCTGCTCCTACCTGCAGAGAAAGGGATGTGAGCTGTCTGCTAAAAGTTCACATCCCATACACCAAGCCTGACCCTGGTGGACATCTGCGGCAATTTTCTTTACTGAAAACTACTGCATTCCCTTTGTTTAATTTGGAGCAGACTCTGTGCTGGTTTCTATATTACTCTGAAATAGAAACTGGCGTGGGGAGCTTAGATAAACCTGAAACAGGTCTACCTGCTTAATCTGCTTTTTTTTAATACCATTCTGTATTCATTACTAGAAGAAACTTAATAGGAAGTTGGATTGTGATAACCGCATTCTAAAGTGTGTGATTTAAAGTGGAACTTCACCCAGAAAGGGAAGGTCTGCTTACCCCCCCCCCCCCCCCCCCCGCCAGCCCCTCTTAACTTTTGGTACTTGGTCTTTTGTTTTGTGGGGGTTTTGACAGGTACCAGCTCCCACTTTCAGTTGTATCCCCGAGGCAATCCAAGTGGAAGTTTGCCCTTTCTCCCCCAGCCTCCTGGGACACATCACAGGTCACAGAAAACTGTGGGACCATTCACAAAGCGCAGCACGGTAGGAAGCCGGCTGTGCAGATACAAGCAAGTAAACATGCCGGCACCTGGACCCAAAGACGGCTGAAGAGCTGGCTCGAGTGAGGACAGCGCTCGACCACTGTACAGTTAAGTGTCCTAGTATTAAAAGTCAGCGCCTACATTTTTATATGTAGCTGCTGACTTTTAATTTTTTATTTCTGGCTAAAGAACCACTTTGAGTTTCAATACAGCAGATCTTAATCATCAAAGATTGATCATCTGTGCTGAGTGCAGTTTTTTTAGAAGGAAATATTCTCTTCCTGTTTAGGCATTTTTTTGTAATTCATGTTGCCATGTGTCTCCCTCTGTTGTTCACAGGTCGTCTCAGCCGTTTATCCACTGGTAGATCGGAGTCAAAAAGTTCCTACTCCAGAAACAGCCACATTCCATCTTCTGCCAGCTCTGTCAGTTCCCGATCAATCCGAAGCATCAGTCCACATGGCAAACCCTGGAAATGATTTCTGTACAGTATCACCGATATACAGTCATTCCCATTCAATCCCTGGTCTACTTGTCCAGTAGAACATTTCTTATTCATGCTACTGCAGTATTGCTAGCTAGACAGGAGTTCTTTGGCGAGAAGCTTAAAGAAATAGAATGTTGTTTACAAGTTATTTTTCAATTATTGTGTAGAAGTTTCAATTTGGGGGGGGTGGGGTATATGTACCGGTTCTTTGTGTTATAAAGCAGTTTTTTAATAACTGCCCATTGGAAGCTATGATGAGAAATCACTGGTTTAACAAATGACCAAGATGTGTGTTGCAGTGTCTGTGAAAACCTTATGGGCACATTCCATATTGCATGAGAACAATTACTCTTTTATCAATGCTTAGGGGTCTTTTTTATAAAACATTCCTTGGACGAATGTTGTAAGCATTTGTCCAGTGTCCAGGCTGCATAGATTTTTCCCCATATTTTCTCTAATACTATGACTTCCTATGATTGTCAGCTTCATCTAGCAACCACAATGCTGTATTTTTTTCTGACATACTCCTATGGTTCTTGCTGTGCTGTTTCAATGTTATCAGCATCCAGACTGTATGGAAATATTGCAAGGAACTTGTTTTTTTCTACCGAAGGGATATTTATGAATTTTTGAGCACTATATTGAAAACAAATAGCAGTTTATAAAAGTCTCCCCACCGTGCCATTACCATGTTTGAGGTTGGGTAACAATGCTTGAATGAGTTATAAAGAATGTAGCAGGAGAAGTGGGAGAACCCAAAACTGGATGGTAATTATGACCAAGAGATCTTTCCACTGGAGCCCCCAAGAGTGTGATAGTGGGCAATGAAGATCACCAGCCCCTTAATAAATGATATGTTGTATTTGGTTGTATTGATCGTTTGGTTTTTTAGCTCACCCCTAAATCATCTATGGGTACATTTCATTATTTATCATAAATATGTATATTCATTGGAAAGTAATATTCAAACATATCAGTTACAGTCCTCTCTAAAGTGGTTCTAAAGCCTGATGGGATTTTACCTTGCATTCTATGATGAAGGTAGAAAACATTCAGTGTGCAGCTTCCCCCCCTCCTTTCCTCTTCGCGGGGCCGAGCCGCACTCTGTGTGTCTCATAGACTCACATAAAGAAACAAATCTGAACCCTTTACAATCACTTTAAAGCTAAACTTCAACTTGTTAGTTGTAGTTTTCACATGGTATCGTCTTTTGTAACTTAAAATAGAATTCCAAATAAATCCTAACTTTAGCTGGAGGGACCACCAACAAAGGCTGCACCATGGGAGCTTATGGAGCTTCCAGCTTTCATAGCCATGGTCGGACGCTCTTTGTTCCCCTACAGCCACTGGGGGATCATGTGACCAGAGTGAAAATGGGCAAGTTTTTTTTCCACATAGGTTAGTTATTGTAGGTGTTGAGGGGAGATTGTGAGATTGTGGCATAGATTTAGAGCAGCCAATATGCATAGATCCAGTTCCCTGTGGGCTCCTCAGGAACTCTTATTACCGCCAATAATAAACTAGGATCTACCACACTTGCCAAATATACTTGATGTATTTATGAATCATTGTGCGACAAGCAGTCCAAAGCTGACTTAAACACTCCTATTTATAAAATAATTCTATTTAGTCACTTATGACATTGTATTTGAGTAAAGGAAAGATATTTGCTGTTATCCATAGCAACCAAACAAGTGTTAGCTTTAGGGCCCTTTCACACTATAGGCATTGGGGAGCTTTACCCAATGGAGCCCCAATGCACAGACACAGCAATTTGTCTTATGTTCTTAGTTCTGGTCACGCCAACACACTGCATTGGTGTACGCTGAAAAAAAAAAAATAATCGTGCAGTGTGTTGTTTCACACTATACTGTATTACAACAAGTTTCAGTGCTTAGAAATGAATGAAATGTGTGACATTTCAAGAAAGATAAAAAAAAGAAAAAAACAACAAATTGCTCTACCTATTCACAGTGCACACTAGCAGTTATGCTTTATACAAAGCATAAAGTGTGCCTACTGGTGTGAATAGGTCCTTAAACTGCACTAGTGAGTTCAAACATGATGAAATAAAATTTGGATGCTGTGTGTAACACTACTTTACTTGAGGTTTTTTAAATTAGATCTTGTGTATTTTACTATGATGTATCCTAATATTTCCTATTTCTAATTTATTTATATTTTTAAAGAGGGAACTCATGTAGCATAGCTTTACACTCAGTGTACAACTCACTTTTTTAGCCCTTTAATACTTTTTAGTATGGTGGCTCAGCATGAGACCATACAGTAGTGTTCTGTAAATAAGTGCAAATGGCATGTGCAGAGAGTTTAGTTATCCATATTAACCAACCAGTGATCTGCAACAATGGTCAGTGATAACACTGATTGCTATGACTCACTTCACTTGCTTGTTGCTGTTGCTTTTGTTGAATACACCTAATAGAAAGGGTGTCCTAATTAATAGGATATTTGCATAAAGATGGCCTATGTTCTTGTAGTCCTGTATGATCATCTTTGAAATGTGCCAATACATTACAACCAGCCGCATAAAATGTCGAGCAAGTTGACTGAATTGTAGTTTAAAGCCCGTATCAGGGCAGAAAAAGTTTTCCCACTTTTGACTGCTTGTTATTATCTAGGGAAGAGGAGAAAGGAGATTTACTTATCTAATCCTCCCTCCCTCTCAGCACAAGACTGGCCCTTCACCCCCGTGCTCCAGTGGCCTTGAGTTGTGGACTGTTCTTGATGTCATCAAGCCTAGAGAGAACTCCATAGACAGGAACAGCCCACTGCTGGCCTCTAGAGGAGTGTAATTTTCTGGTGAAACGAAGGATTGGGTGAGCATAAGCTTTTTTAAGCTTTCTCCTCACCCCTAGACAAAACAAGCAGTTGAACTGTGCAGTGCTGGAAGCTTTTTTTTTTTTTTTTTTTTTGCCCAGAGATAAGGAAAAAATTAAATATCATTGAAAAAAATATAATTTATAAGTTCCCACATGATGTCACCCTTATTTAACAAAAAAAATGTTTTTCATAGCTTGTTCACATTCATTTTGGATCAATTTTCATTTAGTTTTCTTCACATACTACAATGATATGTTGCTTTTTGACGTTTAGGGGACTTTAGTTCCTTTTTGTGTTTGTGTTTTTACACTGCATAATTATTTTACTATATAAGGTACTGTTTCAGTCACTTCCAGGTCATTATGTTTGTGGAAATTTTTATTAAGTTACAGTGGTAGCATTAACTTAACTGTAGCATCATTTTTTAAACTTGGGCAAATATTCACAGTTCTGCATTTTTCATGCAGTACATTTTAGCCCTCTGTTCACACTTTGATGATTTTGAAGCATTTTTTTTTTTTGCACGTTCGAATGCGCGTTTTTAAGCATTTTTCTGTGTGGTGTTTTGGTGTCTTGTGCTGTTTGAGCTCTTGAACCATGTTGAACCATGTCTGCTATGCCAATGTCTTCCAGGCCCTCTGCTACTTGCTACAGTTCTCATAATGGACATCACAGGGGTTCTTGAGGTTATTATGGGCCCTCACCAGGTGGATGAAAGTATCTACATTCAGCATGGACACTCCTTATACTTTCATTTTGTTCATGAGCCTCAGGTTGCTAGGGGGAGAACGGTTGTTAGGTGCAAAAACACACTAAAATGCTTGTGTTGTGCCTTTTCAGGCGCCCCAGTTACTCTATGGGGCCAAAAATGTGTGATTCTATCCAAAAACTAGATAACATTCTTTTTCGCATGATATGACAAGTGGCAGCACAAGGCAAGTGTGAACGGGTACCATTGAATATAATGGGAATCTTCACGTTGAGTGTTTTCACATTTCAAGAAATGCACAAGTTGCTCAGGTGTGCGATGAGGGCTTGTATGTGCTATCATTCATCTTGTGTGGTTTTCAGCAAAGCACATCTGGCATAAAGATAAAGTAAACTGGGTACAAATGTAGCCTTAATTAATTTATGAACATGAGGAATGTGCCTTTTCATGGAATTTATAAACCTGGATGCTGGTTACAAGAGGTAATTCAAACCTAAAATAAATGCCAGTTTCTGTGCGTCACTCTCGGACTCATTTAAAATAAGTGTAAAATTAATGGATGAAATATTTGGGATTACAGTCCTCATTCGCTGTGCCAGGGCCTAGAAATTTATATTGTCCAAAGTAGTGACTTAGTAGGTGCAATCAAGTGCAATTCCCTGATGTTAAATGTCCTGTTAATGAGCTCTTTAAAAATTGTTAAAGAAGGTCTGTAGGAAGAGATACCTTATTTCGTTGATGTTGTTTTATTGTTTTTAAATGTTTATTTTAATAAAATACATCTGCTGCTACTAAAGGCAGTTCTGGCTTTTGTTTCCTTTTTATGTTTTTTTATTTATTTTTGTTTTTTTACTACAAAAGGTCCAAATGTCTAAATTAAAAAAAAACAAACAAACTAGAAGTCTGAGTGTATTTTGTTGTCCATTTTACAGGTAATAGGGCTGTGAAGGCTTTAACCACTTGCCCTCTGCCCTATAGCAGTACTGAAGCAGGGCTGCGCAAATTCACGTACAGTGGATATAAAAAGTCTACACACCCCTGTTTAAAATGTCAGGTTTCTGTGATGTAAAAAAATGAGACAAAGATAAATAATTTCACAACTTTTTCCACCTTTTATGTGACCTATAAACTGTACAACTCAATTGGAAAACAAACTGAAATCTTTTCAGTGGAGGGAAGTAAAAATAGAAAACTAAAATAATATGGTTGCATAAGTGTGCACACCCTCTTATAACTGGGGATGTAGCTGTGTTCATAATTAATCACATTCAAAATCATGTTAAATAGGAGTCAGTACACACCTGCCATCATTTTTAAAGTGCCTCTGATTAACCCCAAATAAAGTTCAACTGTTCTAGTAGATCTTTCCTGACATTTTTGTAGTCGTATCCTACAGCAAAAGCCATGGTCCGCAGACAGCTTCCAAAGCATCAGAGGGATTT